GGAGTCTATCTAGAGACTTGAGATTACCAAGAGGAGAGTAAAGCGTTGAAGTTTTGCTGTGCACTCATTAAAGTAAGAAAGCAGGTTTTCATGACCTTTGTTTCTAGGTAACCTGGAGGCCTACACTGTTTTCTGATAAACTTTATGTTTATCAACATCTAGGCTGTGTCTCTGCGGGAAGGCTTTTAACCCTTTTCTCGCAGGCTTAACAGCCACATAGCCAGAGTCACTGAAGATGGGTTTTTAGGCCCAAACCTTCAGGCCCTATTCTATGTTGACCGAGGCTACCGGGTCTTCGACAGAGTTGTTATCCACAAAAGTTTGTCTGCCTGCTTCTAGACTTTAAAGTGAGCACACAGTATGTGGGTTTTATCCTACAGGCAGGTTCAAATCCAGCCTGGGCCCGCCAAACAACAATGATGGCTGCAACTAAAAAAGATAGCCAGGCATTGTGGCAGGTGCCTGTGATCCCAGCTACTTGGGAGGCGAAGGCAGGAGACTCACTTGAGCCCAGGAGTTGGAGGTTGCTGTGAGCTGTGATGTCATGGCACTCTACCCAGGGGGACAGCTTGAGGCTCTGTCTCAAAAAAAAAGTGTCTAATGTCACTTAAAAATCAAGTAGTAAAGAAAAAGAAAGGTGTATGTTGGATTTATCCACAGTGAATCATTGGTGAACGCACTAAAAATATGTTCATGGGGCTGGGTGTGGTGGCTTGTACTATGAGCCTGTAAATCCTAGCACTCTGGGAGGCAAAGGTGAGTTGGATCGCCTGAGCTCAGGTCATTCCAGACCAACCTGATCTAGATCGAGATTCCCATCTCTTAAAAAAAAAAAAAAATAGCTGGGCAGGGCGGCGCCTATGGCTCAAAGGAGTAGGGCGCCGGCCCCATATGCCAGAATGGTGGGTTCAGACACAGCCCTGGCCAAAAAAAATAGCTGGGCATTGTTGCCAGCAACTGTAATCCCAGCTACTCAGGAGGCTGAGGCAAGAGAGTTACTTGTATCCAAGAGTTTGAGGTTGCTGCGAGCTATGATGCTATATCACTCTACCAAGGGCAACAAAATGAAACTCTGTCTCAAAAAAAAAACTGTTCATTGGCATGATGGGGTCAAAACTACACTTTACCATACATGGAAGAAAGAAGAGAGGATGAGGTCGAGATAGTGAGGGAAGGTAACTCAGGGAAGTTTGGCCATGGAAAGAGAGTGTGGGAGTGGGATGGATGATGCCATGTTGAAATGTGTTAAGATTCTCAAGCAGCCTAAAACTGTTGGAAGGGAGGCAATATAGAGGGAAGGTGTGCAGTATAAGCAGGGAAGCAAAAACTAATAGAACTGCAAGGAGAGATTTTTTTTTTAATCACAATTACAGGTGGAGAAGATTCCTTACTCAGTAAGTGATAGGACAAGTACCCTAAAAATCACTAAGGAGTTAGTAGACTGGAATAACATTGTCAACCAGCTTGACCTAACATTCATAGAAGAGTCCCCACAACAGCAGAATACACAATTTTTTTAAGTGCATGAAGAAAATTTGCTAAGCTAGATCATATTTTGGGCTATGAAACAAGTATATTCTCTAACTAGAATGAAGTTAAATTAGAAATCAATAACAGGATGATTTAAAAAAAAAGAAATCAATAACAGATCTGGAAAAGTCTTTGAATATTTGGGAACTAAATAACTCCTAAATAATCCTTCAGTCAAAGAGGAAATCAAAAGAAAAATTAGACCAGCATAAGCAAGAGCCAGACCTGGTCTCTACTAAAAATAGAAAATTTAGGCTCAGCACCTATAGCTCAAGTGGCCAAGGCGTCAGCCACATATACCAGAGCTGGCAGGTTCGAATCCAGCCTGGGCCTGCCAAACAATGATAACTACAACCAAAAAATAGCTGGGTATTGTGGCGGGCGCCTGTAGTCCCAGCTACTTGGGAGGCTAAGGCAAGAAAATCGCTTAAGCCTAGGAATTTGAGGTTGCTGTGAGCTGTGACACTACGGAACTCTACCCAGATCTGTCTCAAAAAAAAAAAAAAAAAACAAATTAGCCAGGTGTGGTGGCTCACGCCTGTAATCCTAGCATTTTGAGAGGCCAAGGTGGGTGAATTGTTTGAGCTCAGGAGCTCGAGATTAGCCTGAGCAAAAGTGAGACCCCATCTCTACTAAAAACAGAAAAATGGGGGCAGCGCCTGTGGCTTAGTGCATAAGGCACTGGCCCATATACTGAGGGTGGCGGGTTCAAACCTGACCCGGCCAAACTGCAACAAAAAATAGCCGAGCCTTGTGGTGAGTGCCCCTAGTCTCAGCTACTCAGGAGGCTGAGACAAGAGAATCGGCTAAGCCCAGGAGTTGGAGGTTGCTGTGAGCTGTGATGCTACGGCACTCTACCAAGGGCAATAAAGTAAGACTCTGTCTCTTAAAAAAACAAACAAAAAAAAACATAGAAGAATGGAGGCAAGAGGCTCGCTTGAGTCCAAGAGTTGGAGGTAGTTGTGAGATCCAACTCTTGGGCTTAAGCAATTCTCTTGCCTCAGTCTCTCAAGTAGCTGGGACTACAGGCACCCGCTACAACACCCACCATTTTTTTGTTACTGTTGTAATTGTTGTTCAGCAGGCCCTGGCTGGGTTCGAATCCACCAGCCCCCGTGCATGTGCCCAGTGCCCTAACCACTGAGCTACAGATGCCAAGCCTAGAATGTAAGTCTCAAATAAATTACGTAACATTCATCTTAAGAAATGAGAAAAATAAGAGCAGATGAAGCCCAAAGTAAGTATAATCAATGGAATTCAGTGAAATATAAAACAAAAATGAGAGAAAATCAACGAAACCAGATGCTGATCCTTTGAGATCAGCAAAATTGAAAAATCTCTGGCCAGATTGAACAAGAAAAAGACACAGATTACCAATGTCAGGAATGAGAGATAAAATCTCGGCTCGGCACCTGTGGCTCAAGTGGCTAAGGCGCCAGCCATATACACCTAAGGTGGTGGGTTCAAATCTAGCCTGGGCCCGCCAAACAACAATGATGACTGCAACCAAAAAAATAGCCAGGCACTGTGGCGGGTGGCTGTGGTCCCAGCTACTTGGGAGGCGGAGGCCAGAGACTCGCTTGAGCCTAGGAGTTGAAGATTGCTGTGAGTAATGCCACAGCACTCTACCCAGGGGGACAGCTTGAGGCTCTGTCTCAAAAAAAAAAGAGAGAGAGAGAGATAAAATCTCTGCAGAAAGGATAACAGATTCTGAACTTTGTGCCAATAAATTTGTCAGCTTAGACTAAATGAACAAATTTATTGAAAGCACAAACTTCTTATACTTAAGTTCACTTAAGACAATAGATAGGGTGGCGCCTGTGACTCAAAGGAGTAGGGCGCCGGCCCCATATACCGGAGGTGGCGGGTTCTAACCCAGCCCTGGCCAAAAACTGCAAAAAAAAAAAAAAAAAAAGATGACATAAATAGCTTTCCATCTATTAAAGTACTGAATCTGTAGTTAAACTCTTTCTTCAAAGAAGACTCCAGACTTAGCTTCACTGGGAATTCCACCAAACAATTCTACACAAACTCTTACAGAAAATTTGAAGAAGGCCAGGCAAGTAGCTCTTAACCTATAATCCCCTCCTCCCTTGGGAGGCCAAGGCAGGAGGATTGCTTTAGGTCAGGAGTTTGAGAGCAGCAGGAGCGAGAGAGAGACCCCATATCTACTAAAAATAGAAAAAATTAGCCTGGCGTTGTGGCAGGCACTTGTAGTTCCAGCTACTGGGAAGGCTGAGGCAGAAGAATTGCTGGAGCCCAGGAGTCTGAGGTTGCTGTGATCTATGATGAGGCTACAGCACTCCAGCTGTACCCTTTTTTGTCTTGGAAAACAAAATGGAAGGAACAGTTATTTCCCAAATCATTGTTCCTAACAGTGTTATTTTAATAACAAAATTTGAGGACCTTAAAAGAAACTACAGACTAATATCTTTCATGAACACAGATACTACAATTCTTTTAAAACATTCTAGAGCAAATTGAATCCAACACTACATAAAAAGAATAATACAACATGAGTAAAGTTGGGGTACTTCCCAGGAATGTAAAGTTAGCTTAGCAACTTTAAACTTTTTACCCTATTAAAAGAGTGAAAGAGAAAAAAATGGATTATCTCAATAGATACAGAAAAAGGATTAAACAAAACCCAACATCACTTCCTGATTAAAAAAACTGTCCAGGCTTGGCACCTGTAGCACAGCGGTTATGGTGCCAGCCACATACATTGAGGCCGACGGGTTTGAAACCACCAGCCGAACAACAGTGACAACTGCAACAAAAAATAGCCAGGCGCTATGGCAGGCACTTACTGTCCCAGCTACTTGGGAGGGTGAGGCAAGAGAATCACTTGAGCCCAAGAGTTTGAGGTTGCTGTGAGCGGTAATGCCACAGCACTCTACTGAGGGGGACATACTGAGACTCTGTCTTGAAAAAAAAAAACTATCTGGGCATGGCCGCTCATAGATGTGATCCTAGCACTTTAGGAAGATCACTTGAGGCCAGAAGATTGAGACTAGGCTGAGCAACATAGACCCTGTCTGTACCCAAACCGAAAAGTCTTAGCCCAGGCTTGGTGGTGGCACCTGCGTACTCTGGAGGTCCAGGCAGAAGGACCACTTTAGCCATCAGAGATTCACAGATGAGAAGTGAGTATATGAAAGACCCCAGGTTAGTAGGGAAATGCAAACTGAAACCACAGTGGGTCTGGGTATGGTGGCTTGTTCCTAGAATTCCAGCAATTTGAGAGGAGGCTCATTTGAGGCCAGAAATTCAAGACTAGCCTATAAAATATAAAAACATGAGCCAGGCATGGTGGGTTATAGCGCCTATAGTGCCAGCTACTCAAGAGGCAGTGGCAGGAGGATCGCTTGAGCCCAGGAGTTCAAGGCTGTGGTGGGCAGCAGACACCACTGCGCCCCAGCCTGGGTCACAGAGCCAGACCCTGTCTAAAAACAACCAAAACACCACAATGAGATACTACTACACACTATTAGAAAAGCTAAAATAAAAAAGTATATTCATTATTTTTTAAAGCCCTGCTGCAGATTCCCAGAGCAGATGCTGAGCGGCACAGCCTTCGTACCCTGTGGTCGGAGCACAGCGTGTCACGGCTCCCTTGGTGAGCGGTTTGGCAATTTCCTGTGAAGTCAAACAGAATTATTACCGTATGACCCAGCAGGCCTTTCACTCCAAGGTATTTACCCAAGAGAAATAAAAACATGTTGGTACAAATACCTGTATGCAGATACTTTCAATGGCTTTGTTTATAACTGCCCCAAAATGGAAACAACATGGGTATTTTTAACCTAGTGAATGAACAAACTGGGATACATCAGTGTAGTGGGATTACTATGCGGCAATGAATAAAACGTGTTAGTGAAAATCTCAGCAACATGAATGCATTATGAATGAATCTAGACTCAAAAAACTTCAAAGAATAAAATTCCATTTATATGACCTTCTAGAAAAGGCAAAATTACCATGATAGAAAACAGGTCAGCGCTTGCCAAAATTTGGGGTGGGGGAAGCTTGAACACAGAGTAACTGTTTGTGTCTCAGTAGTGGTTCTGATTACCTGACTGCACTTGTCAAAAACATTTGCACAGACTGGGTAAGGTGGCTCACGCCTATAATCCTAGTACTCTGAGAGGCTGAGGCAGGTGGATTGCTTGAGCTCATGAGTTCAAGACCAGTCTGAGCAAAAGCAAGACCCTGTCTCTACTAAAAATAGAAAAACTGAGGCAAGAGATCTCTTGAGCCCGGGAGTCTGAGGTTGCTATGAGCTATGATGCCAGGGCACTCTACCCAGGGCAACAGCTTGAAACTTTGTCTCAAACAACAATAACAACAGCAACAACAAAAACTTGTTGCACACCAACAGAGATTTTTCACTGTATATAAACTTTAAACAGGGGTTATTAGGTCAGAAATAAAAAGTTCAGCTAAAGCCTCATTCCCACCAGATCCCCTACCCTTCTCTGCCCAGATCACTATAATGGTGTCCTGACTGAGTTAGGTGAATATTATTTGTTTTTATATTCTTACTGTTTATATTCTTACTTTATATAATCAAGAAGATAACTGTTTTATGTGCTTTAATCATTTATATAAGTGGTATAATACTATATGTTTCTGCAACTTGATTTTTTTCCTCTCTGTGGCTTTTAGTTTTATACTTAAAGACATATTTTAAGTTTCTGACAGTTTATGTAATGGTTTAATAATCAGTCTCTTGTAAAGGAGTTACAGTGTGTTCAGCTTTTATTGTTAAAACAAACATTGGTTCCCTGCAAACTCTAGACAGTCCTCGTGCCTTTAGCATGCATCTGAGACTATGTCTGGACAAGAACTTGCTGCCTGCAGGTTGTGCATACTGCAACTTCATTAAATGTTACTTAATTGCCTTTCCAACTAACATGGCATTCATTTACATTCCTAAGTTTCCCTTTTCACCATATCCTTATCACCTCTTTAGACTGACTTTTGGCCATTCTGACTCATCATTTTCATTTGCATTTTTCTGATTGCTGGTGAAGTTGAATATTTTACTTAGTTATTCACAATTTGCTTTTCCTACCTGGAAATTGCCAGTAAGCTTCCACTGTCCTTTTTTTGCAGTGGGGTTTCCTTGTGTGTCTGGTCTTGGAGGCTAACGTGTGGCATCTGTGTGAGCAGTCTAGAGGCCAAGCTTTCCTGAAGGTGTGTCCTCCCCAGAAGGGCGGAGAGGCCATGTGTCCTTCCTGCCCCTGCCCCACACCCAGTTCATCTTTTGGGCAGTCTCCAGGTGCTTTCCTGCAATTTAGGCCACATACCAAAGCACAGGGCATCTTTCCTCCAGAACACACCCTGCCCTGCTTTCCTTCTCTTGGGTGTCACCAGGGCCTCATTGGCCCCCCTCCTCCACCACCCCTATTTCCAGATGGGCAGGTCTGCATGAACCTACCCCCCAAAGTCCCTACTCCTAAAGAAGCTGAGAGGCTGAAGAAAGAGGCTGACAGATCCCAGTTCTCAGAAGGAAACATCTGATAGGGACCCAGGAAGGATGGGCGGGATTCTCAAAGACTGGCATGACTGCCAGTGAGTCGGCCCGAGGCAGGGGCAGTAGGTAAAGCAGAAACCTAGAGGGCCCTTGAACAGGAGTCACTCGGGAGTCACACCCCCGCATCTCCCTGTCCTCTTCCCCTGCACCATGAAGCCTGGCTGCAGGATGGCATCAGCCAGCCGGAGGCTGTGCCACAGATCAGTAGGAGGCCTCAGTGTCCCCATCCAGTGTAGTCTACAGGGCCTGGCTGGTGCTCCAGCCACCTGCCACATCCCAGTCTGCCCCCAGGAGATTGCAGGGGTTGCCTTTGTGCAACACATCTTCTGCCTGGCATCAACCTCTTCTTCCAGACTCAGCTCTGTTGTTACAAATGCCCCAAGCTCCATGTTCAGGGGGCTGTGGCTATGGCCATGGCCCTGACCCTGGCATTTGCTGGGTGCACACCCAGCCAAGGCTCCTGCAGCCAAACGCAGGAGGGGAGTAGGGAGGACAATGCCTTGATGCTGGCAGGTTAAGTCCAGCCTTGATTTCCCCAGAGTTCCTGGCTCCAGTGTGGCCCCTGCAGGAAGCAGCCCGCTATGTGCACAGACCCTGAGGCCCCATAGGGCACCTTGTCCCCTCCATTCTTAGGCCTGCTGTGTGGCAGGGCCTCAGGCCCCTTCCTGGGGACAGGGCTTGCCAAGCACCTGCCACATATCAGACACAGTGCACGTTGACTCACTCCTCCCATTTTTTGAAAGGAAACTGTGGCCCTGTCTCTTGCCCAGATCTGTGCTCAGCAGTGGTAGGCCAGGGGTGGGGTCTGATCCTCACCCCCTGAGCTGGGGGCTGGGAATTGAAGGGACTTCCTGGTAGAGGACAGTGTGGCATGAGCCTTCCCCACCTCGGCCATAGCCAACCCCCTGCTGGGAAACACCCACACCCTTCTCCAGGCTGAAGCCCGTAGAGGCGGCCCCCAGGAGCACTCCACTGGTGTTCTTAGAGCTGTGTTTCCTTGCAGCTCCTGTGACCACTGGACAGCAGCCCCAGCATGTCCCAGTCCCAGACCCCAGAGCAGGTGCTCGATACACAGGAGAACTATGCCCCAAGCAAGAGGGACGAGGATGTCGGAGAGGGGCCCCAGTGTTCCCATCGCATGCTCAACTTCAGTGATGCCCTCCTGTCCATCATTGCCACCGTCATGGTCTGTATGGGGCCCCTCAAGGTCCTGCCCCGCCCCTTCAGACCTGGACCTGGCTCAGTCCCCAGCTTATGGAGCATCTCTCATTCCCTCAGATCCTGCCTGTGACCCACACGGAGATCTCCCCAGAACAGGTAACGGGAGCAGGCTGCCTATGTCATGTGGCTTCAGGGAGACTTGCCAGGTCTGCAGGCCCACAAGCCCATGGTTTCTGCGGCTCACAGTGGGGAGTTGTGTGAAGGGAAGGGGGTGGTTGGTACACTTTCCCTCAGCTATGCCATCTCAGCGGTGCCCTCCTCTGTGGGAAGGGAGAGGAGGTGGGGGCTCCCAAGGCTTTATCTCAGAGCTCAGAACAAAAAGGCAGTGCCCTGAGAGGCAAAGCTGAAGGTTAGGTCAGAGAAGGCAGTCTGGGGCCTCCCCTAAGAGCTGGTGTCCACAGAACAGTTGTTCTGCTGGGAGGGAAGCTCCCTTGGCAGGGTCTTTGCCCTTTGCCCCAGAGTGGCCCTCATAGCAGGTACTCCAAGTAAACAGAGGGCAGGCTGTCCAGCCTCAGCGGAAACATTTCCACCCTGGCCTACTTACATGGTTTCAACTCAGGTGAGTGGAGAAAAATTTTTTTTTGTTTTTTTTTGTTTGTTTTTTTGAGACAGAGTCTCACTATGTCACCCTCAGTAGAATACCCTGGCATCACAGCTTACAGCAACCTCAAACTCTTGGGCTTAAGCAATTCTCTTACCTCAGCCTCCCGAGTAGCTAGGACTCTAGCTGCCTGCCACAACACCTTGCTATTTTTTGGTTGCAGTTGTCATTGTTTAACAGGCCCAGCTCGAACCTGCCACCTTTGGTGTATGTGGCTGGTGCCCTACTCACTGAGCTATGGGTGCCCAACCAAGTGGAGAAAAGTTTTAAAAGCAGAGTTTGTGTTTGTAGCCAACTTTATTGGAATTTTTCTGAGTTAAAGAGCAACACATGGCTGGGTGTGGTGATGGGCACATGTCTCAGCTACTGGAAGCTGAGGCAGGAGGATTACATGAGCCCAGGAGTTCTAGGCTGCAGCAAGTTATGACTATACCACTGCACTCTAGCCTGGGCTACAGAGCAAGACCCTGCCTCTAAAAAGAGTAATATAAACACAATGAGTAATATCTTAGAAGCTGAACTGTTGGGTGGCACCTGTGGCTCAAAGGAGTAAGGCACCGGCCCCATATGCCAGAGGTGGTGGGTTCAAACCCAGCCCTGGCCAAAAACTGCAAAAAATAAAAATAATAAATAAATAAAAGAAGCTGAACTGTTTTGGAAGACATTTGGTGTGCATGTCTATGCCTTGCTTGGTATACCTCCATGTGACTGGGATATCCTCACATCGGCTGAGGTCTGGGCTACAATTCTGACTTGTGAATTGAGCTGGTGATTCTGGAAAGTCTTCAGACCTGCTTAGAGTGTGGCTTTTTTGCGTGAAAAGGTGATAGGATACTTTTCATACGATTTTGCTGAGAATTAAGTAGAAATGCAGTTGGGCGCAGGCTGGCTGTTAGGGAGGCCCTGGGTGTCCACAGGCATCCCTGGCACAGGTGCCATCCAGAGCAGAAGCACCACCAGAGATGCTGCCCCCAGGGGGGCTGAGCTGCTGCTCAGGGAAGCCATGTCCCCGCCAGAGGCCACTGTGGAACCGGAGCCTTCTCCAGGAAGTCACGAGGTGAGGCCAGCCTAATGTCTCAGAGTGCTTTCCTTGGCCACCATGGGCTCATAGATGTGAGATGGCCCGATCAGGAAGTCACGTGAAAAGAAAGGGCTTTGTTTTGGGTTAAAAATAGGAAAACCCTGTGAGGCCAAACCTCTTCATCCTTCTTTGTAGTCAGGGTCATCTCTTAGAGGTGTGTGTCCTGTTCATGCACTCTGACCAATTCACAGAGAGCTAGGCTGGATGGTTCCTTGAGCCCAGTGCAGAGAAGACACTGCAGTTGTGAGAAGAAGGGAAAGCCCAGTATGCTTCCTGAAGAAGGTGTTGGACCAGTGGAACCCTTCCATGACCCAGAGGGGATTCACAGGGCTGTTCTCTGATCAAAAGAAAAAGACTAGGCCAGGCACAGTGGCTCACACCTATAATCCTAGCACTCTGGGAAGCTGAGGTGGGTGGATTGTTTGAGCTCAGGAGTTAGAGACCAGCCTGAGCAAGAGTGAAACCCTGTCTCTAATAGAAACAGAAAAACTACTGGGCATTGTGGTAGGCACTTGTAGTTTCAGCTACTGGGAAGCTGAGGCAGAGGCAGGAGGATTGCTTAAGCCCAGGAGTTTGAGGTTGCTGTGAGCTATGATGCCACAGCCCTCTACCAAAGGTAACAGAATGAGACTCTGTCTCAAAAAAGAAAAAGATTAGTTAAACCTTAGAAACCCTAGTGATTAAAAAAAACATCGTAGTGCCCAACAGAAAAAGTAACTGGACCTGGACACTTCATGGCTCAGAGGCCAATTGCAAATGAAGGCTGAGGAAATGAGTAAGCAGAGGGCTACAGTCCTGAAAACTTACTGATAAAGCACAGTCCTTGCCTGATTTCACAGAGAGAGTTCCACGTGGATTCCAGTCCCACCTGCAACTCTATTCTAGCCATGGGCCACAGTACAGCAGCTTACTCAGGCAGTGCCTTTGTGACCCTGACCTGTGGTGGGATTTAACCCCCACAGCTTTGGGGGGACCAAGCTCTGGAGGGCACAGCCTGGTGTGTGGGGCCAGCAATTTTAGAAAAGGCTGAAGAGTGGCTTGGCACCTGTAGTTCACTGACCTTCGGGGTGCTGGCCACCTACACCAAAACTGGAAAGTTTGAGCCTGGCTAGGGCCTGCTATGACAACTATACCCAAAAACAGCCAGGCATTGTGGGGGGCGCCTGTCCCAGCTACTTGGGAGGCTGAGGCAAGAGAATTGCTTAAGTCCAAGAGTTTGGGGTTACTGTGAGCTGTGACACTACAGTACTCTACTGAAGGCGACATAGTGAGACTGTCTTCAAAAAAAAAAAGGAGAGTAGGTGATGCCACTGCCCTCTCTGCCCTCTGTCCCTCGCTATGAGGATGCTGGACATTGCCATGTTAGCCACTGGCCCTCACCAACCTTCGCCCCCATTTACATGCCCTCATGGTCCAGGGAGCCCATCCCCAGGGAATGTCCCCAAGAGCTGACATTTCAGTGGTAAAATGGTCCACAGAAGACCCCAAACCACGTCTTGGATGGAGGCAATGGATCAGTGCCCTGGAGAGAGGGTGGAGGCCCAGGGTGGGGCCCACAATTATGGGGAGGCCCAGTTGGCACAACAGAGGCTGAAGAAAGACTGGAGAGTGCCCAGGCTCTTCTGGAGAGCTAGGCCCTACCCAGACCCCATCAGGCCCCACCAGGGCCATCCTAGGGCTCACCCTGCTCAGGACCAAGGCTGCGCCACATGATGCCATCCCAGGAGATGACCACCATTCAGTTGCACACATGGCTCTCATAACAAGGATGCTCTTTTCTTCTAGCGTTTTGACAAAACTATAGAGACACTTCTAGCAACCAAGATCGCTGTCTATCTGATGACGTTTCTGATTGTGACTGCGGCCTGGGCAGCACACACAAGGTGGAGTGGCTCTTCTGGGGCAGGCCCATGCCAGAGGACCTGCATGGTATGGGTGCTGGGTGGGTGCAAAAGGGGCCCAGCTGTTGTAGGGTGTCTAGAGGGTGGGTTTGAGAGGTAAGACCACCTTTACCAGCCTCACACTGGTTCACTTAGCACAGTGGTTCTCAAACTGTGGGTCGCCACCCACAGGAACTATATTAAAGGGTCGTGGCATTAGGAAGGTTGAGAATCACTGACTTAGTGGATCCTGGGCCTGGGACAGTGAAATGGACCCATTAAAGTTTGCTTGTTGGTGATGCTGCTGCCCACTAGAGCTGCCACCATACCAGAGCTCCCCCAAGGAGAGGGCTCTCAAGCCTCAGGCCCTGAGGTACTGGCCAGCACCACTGTGTGGTGTGCAGGGCCCCTCCCTGGCACTTGCAGGCTGAACTGGGGAAGAAAGACCCTAGGAGCTGGGACAGTACAGCCAGCACACCTCCTTCGTGGGGGCTTTCTGCCCAGTGTGCCTTCCCTGGTGCTGAGCCCTTCGGGGGCTGAGAGCTACCGTAGTGTCCAACTCTTAACGCCCACATGGCCATAGAGAAGGCAGGCCAGCCCACCAGCTCCACCGGCCTGCCCTGGAGAGACCATGCTCACAGAGCAGCTGGGCACACCTCGGTTGCTACGGGTTGATTCTGGCTGTTTACAGCAGTGAGTTCAACTCAGGAGAAAACAGCAGCGATGGCTGGGGGTGGACAGGGTCCTCTCCAGGGAATCTGCTCTTCCTGCTTTGTGTTTTCCAAACTTCGTATACTAGGTAGTATTTTATTTTGTCAAAAATGACATCCCTTAATGTTTAAGCAGAGAATACTGGGAAGAGTTTGTGTATATTCAGTTGTATTAAAGCAACGTTTTATTGATAACCTATCTTTTCCTGTTTTTTTCTGAAATTGTTTAGATTGTTCCAACTTATTGGGAATATAGATGACACACTTGCCTTACTCAACCTGGTGAGTATTTTCCTGTGATTTTTTTGGAAATGATTTTAGTTTATAACCCTAATGCTCTGAGGAAGAGTGGCCACTTCTCTTGTGGTGGAGCTGGACAGAAGCTCCTGAGGACCCCCCCAGGTGTGCCGCTGCAGCTCTGCCAGGCAGACCAGGGTCCTTCTGAGGGGCTGAGCACCCCCCATCTTACCCAGACCAGAGCACATGTCACTCTGCATTAGAGGACCTGGGAGGTGCCCACAGGGTGCCTTGCAGTTGCCTAAGTGATCCACCCTTCCTGCAGGTGTGCATGATGACCATCACCCTCTTGCCGTACACGGTGAGCTGTACCCCAGGCACCCCTGAAGTTTCATGGCAACCCTCAGATGCAGGTCCTGGGCCCAGAGTTGCAAAGGAGAGAAGGTTCTGGGGCTGCCTGGGCACTCGGGCTGAGGGAAGGGAGAGGCAGAGCCTAACTGATGGCTCTCAGCGCACCTGGTCCCCAGGCCTGCCGACAGCCGGGTCTCTGCACATCTGGGGCCGCTCACTCCGTGGAAACACTCACACCCTGGGTTTGGATGGAGGCCTGGGTCTGAGCACACAAGGGTTGGGGGTTCTGTATGGACATGACGTTTCTGCCCCTGTGGCCGCTCTACTTCCAGGGCACGGCATGAGACGGGAGGCACCACCAGCCCTGGGACCCTGATAACCTTTGGGTGATTTTCTTGGACACAGTTTTCCTTAATGGTGACTTTCCCCGACGTCCCTCTGGGCATCTTCCTGTTCTGCATGTGTGTGATCGCCATCGGAGCTGTGCAGGTGGGCTGCCCAGGACCCCTGCCCCTGCAACTAGGGTGTTGGGAGTGCAGGTGCCCCACAGCCCCTGCTATGTGATTGCAGGCAGGAGGGTGGGCTCTGGGACCCCCACAGGCAACCCAGGATCTGGCCACAGGGTCCCTCTCCTTTCCACCCTCTGCGGGTGCCCACCAGAGCAAGCCCTGCACTGCTCTCCACAGGCTCTGATCGTGGTGTATGCATTCCACTCTCCACACCTACTGAGCCCACAGATCCTGCAGTTGCAGTCTGCCCACAGAGCCCTGTGCTGGCAGCGCATCCTGCTGGTCATCCTGCGCGGCCCCACACTGTGCTTCGCTGCGGCTGTCTTCTCCCTCTTCTTCTTTCCTGTGGTGAGTGCCAGCATGGCCCCCAGGGCCTGGGCAGGGCAGGACTGTGGTAGACAGAGGTTGCACCAAAGATCTTCTGTGTAGCCTGCAGCACTCAGGAGGAATGGCCAGGTGTCCAGGGCTGGGGAAGGGGGCGCAGCCATCACTCTCCTGAGACACCAAGCACCTGCCTGTGGAGAATGGACAATTGACACTCACCCAAGGGGACATCTGAGCTGTCCCCAGCAAAGTTCTACGTGAGGATGAAGACACCAAAAGTCCAGAGCTGTGCTTGTTTTTCTTTTACTTGAGGATCCTGTGCAGACCTGGTCACAGCAGCAAATACCAGCTACCATGTAGGTGGTCAGACCTGGGCAGGCTCCATCTTCCTCAGCTGGCAGTCTACCCAGGGAAACAGCTTGAGACTTTCTCAATAAATAAAATAACAAGTGCTTATGAGGAGGTGGAGAAACAAGAGCCCATCACAGCTCACAGCAACTACCAACTCCTAGGCTCAAGCGATCTTCTTGCCTCTGTTTTTCTATTTTTAGTAGAGATGGGATCTCTTTTGCTCAAGCTGGGCTTAAACTTGTGAGCTCAAGCAATCCACCTGCCTCAGCCTCCCAGAGTGCTAAGATTACAGGCATGAGCCACCACACCCGCCCTGTTTTGTCTTTATCACTATTTTCTGGGGGTGTGGGAGTATCTCACTTGGTTTTGATCTCATTAACCCTAATGGCTGAAAATGTGGAGCATTTTCCATGGGTTTCTTGCATTTGTTGGCCATCTGTGTATTTTCTTTTTTTTTTTTTTTTTTTTTGAGACAGAGCCTCAAGCTGTCCCCCTGGGTAGAGTGCCATGGCATTACAGCTCACAGCAACCTCCAACTCCTGGGCTCAAGCGAGTCTCCTGCCTCCGCCTCCCAAGTAGCTGGGACCACAGGCGCCCGCCACAACGCCCGGCTATTTTTTGGTTGCAGCCATCACTGTTGTTTGGCGGGTCCGGGCTGGGGATTCGAACTCGCCACCTTAGGTGTACATGGCTGGCGCCTTAGCTGGTTGAGCTATAGGCGCCGAGCCCATCTGTGTATTTTCTTTGTAGCAATGTCAAAGTCCCTTGCCCATTTTTTGTGTTACCTTGTCATTGTTGAGACACACGAGTTCTTTGAGACTGAACCCTTATCACGTGGGCTTCCGAGATCCCTGCTCTTGGAGTGGACAGCTGCAGGGCAGCCCCCAACCCTGATCTGTGTGTGTCTCTGCAGTCCTACCTGCTGATGGCGATGATCATCTTCCTCCCTTATATCAGCAAGGCCATCAGCTGGTGCAGAGAGAGGCTCATGGGTAGGTGACCATGCCTGGGCTGGCCTGAGACACCCACAGGCTGCTCGTCCTCCACATGGCCACTCTGCACAGAGGTGGGGGGTTTCCACCAGCTCCCAGGGAGGTCAGGTGGGGGCAGGGCTGCACACAGTGGCCCTAGTTCTGGCTCTTGGCTACCATTGGTCCCGGCTGACCCCCACTCTCCCTCAGAGTGTCCTGCACAATCTCCAGCCCCTTAAGGGAAGAGGGCAGCAATGGCTGTGCTGGCCCAGTAGCCCTATGTGAGAGGGGCTCAGCCAGTTCCCCTTCCCTGCACATCCACAGGCCATGAGGACCCCCCAGCTCTCCCAACGGAGTTCACTTTCGACCTTTACGAGCTACTCAGTAAGGAGCGGATGGAGGCCTTCAGTGATGGGGTCTATGCCATCGTTGCCACCCTCCTCATCCTGGATATCTGGTAAAGACCCCATGCCAGTGTACATCAGCTATAGGCTCTGCAAGTCCTGCATTTCTCTGGAGAATTCAGGGAGGCTCTTCCTCTCCTGGGTGCCCAGTGCCCACCCTTGAGGGCAGAGCTCCCAGAGGGTGGGGCCATGCAATGGCCCCCAACCTAACAGCATAAACAGGGGTGGGGGTGCCAGCCCTGCTCCTATCCCCTTGCTTCCCATCTTAATCACATTTTGGTTTTTTACATCATTTAAAATAGTGACTTACCCTTAGCTGTATCTCAGCACACTCTTTCATTTTGTTAGACATGTCATGTCAAAACACTTTGATGTTATATTCTATAATAGTCTCAAGTCTGAGACTCTTAGCAGTTTTTTTCTATTGTTATTTGTACAGTTAAAACTGGAAGCAAATGTTCCTTGGTACTGATCTAAGGCCTAGATTTAAAGAACACTACAGAATAATCTCCCTTTACTTCTGCCCCGGAGGCAGGGTTCTCCCCTTCATTTGGCAGTCCCTCCTGGCAGTATCCCCTACCTGCCTGCCACCTTCACCTACCTTGCCCACCATCATAATGGTGGACACCTGTATGAGGTGGCTGTGAGGACCACATTTCCACACTCAGCAGATGAGACAAGACACTGACCCCAGGCTTTCTAGGGTGTGCTGCTGGGGCCACAGCCCCGATCAGGGTAGTTCATAGCGCCTCCCAGGTCCAGGAGAACCCAGAGGTGCTGGGGCCTCACACTCCTGACACTCTAGAAAGCCTGGCGTAGGAGTCAGTCTCCTGGGACTCACCATGTAGCCCTAGGAACCCTGGAAGTAAATGCTTCCCTGGTCTTCAAGACACTTCCTTGCACAGGTGTCTGGCCCCCAGGGTGCTGCACAGGGGAGCTCAAAGAAGAGGGCACAGACATAGGAGGGGACAGGTCCTACAAGCTCTTCAGGGGCTAATCCCATGGAGCAGACTTGCAGGGGCCACAGTGACCTTGGCCAGAGAAAGCCTGGGCCCAGGGGCACCTACCAGCCTTCAGGGACCAAGGGCAGGGCTGCTAGTTAGTACAAAATAGACAATGCTACCAGCTAGTATTGATGGGTTTCAGCTAGCACAGAGCTAGTGGCACCCTTCATCTGAAGTCACATGGGCCCTCGCTTGGGAGCCTGCCTGGGCCTGAGGGAGGCTGAGTGTAAATGCCATCTGTTCCTCATTCACAGTGAGGACAATGTTCCAGATCCCCAGGATGTGAAGGTTAAGTTCCACGGCAGCCTTGTGGCGGCGCTGGGCGTGTATGGGCCTCGCTTCCTGGCATACTTTGGCTCCTTTGCCACAGTGGGCCTGCTGTGGTCTACTCACCACTCGCTCTTCCTGCATGTCCGCACAGCCACGCGGACCATGGGGCTACTGAACACGCTCTCACTGGCCTTCGTAGGTGGCCTCCCACTGGCCTACCAGCAGACCTCCACCTTCGCCCAGCAGCCCCATGATGAGCTCGAGCGCGTGCGTATCAGCTGCGCCATCATTTTCTTTGCCAGCATGTTCCAATTCGCCATCTGGGCCACAGCCCTGCTGCGCCAGGCAGAGACGCTGCAACCCCCAGTGTGGTTCGGTGGCCAGGAGCACGCATTCCTGTTTGCCAAACTGGCCCTATACCCCTGTACTAGCCTGCTGGCCTTCGTAGCCACCTTCTTCCTGAGCAGGCTCAGCACTGCCATCTTCCACGTCATGCAGATTGCTATGCCTCCCACCTTCCTGCTCCTGAGCCTGCTGCTGCGTCTGCTGCGGCGGGGCCTGGGGCAGCCAGTACAACTTTGGTCAGGCACCACAGGCGAGGCTAACCCACAGTCCCAGCTCCTCCCTGCCCCTTGAAGGTGGCCAAAGAGCCCATTCACCTGGGACCAATGGGAGAGAGCCCAGTCCGGCTGATGGTGGGTGCAGATTGACAGGGCTGGGCTTCCTTTCTGTTGTGAAATACCATGTTGTTTCAGCATCCTTAGTCTTTACCTTTTGCAGAGCAGAGTTGCACGGGAATGCATTTTCACACATTTACTCACCTACTTCCCAACAGACACATTGCCAGGCCAGGTATCAAAAGCGCTCTCCTCTCCCCACCCCTCCTCCAACAGTGGTCAAGTATGCAGACACAGGAGGCATGCAGGACAGCAGTGCCCAGACTGTATTTATCCCTTAACATAATTTACTGCTATGTTCAGGTAGTGATAAGTGACACATGGAAGGGCTTCTACCCCACAGACACAGACCCTATCTGGGCAAACACAGGACAAGTCATCTCAACAACACAGAGACAGTAACTACACCGTTACACACTAGTTTTAAGATGATAATCACGAGTGACAGCAGACACAAGGAATGTGCGTGCTGAGGCGCAGGGGCCATCATGATCGCTCATCTGAGCAGTTTTGGCAAAAGTGGGGGTGGGGGTAGCAGCAAGGCCCCCAGGAGGCCAAAACAGGCCCTCCTTGAGGTGAAGGCTGATGTGCCCACAAGTAAATGGGGAGCCTTAGTTTGACTGGTCAGACTCCTATAGTCAGAAGTATAAAATGTGCCCCCAAACCCTTGGGCAGAGGGCACACGTGCAACTGTCTTACTCAAGCAGGGCCACCAGTCAGCATGTGCACCCTGGCCAGCAGCACTGGCAGAAGAGTGTACTAACATGGGAGGCTGACTATTGGCAGGAAGGGGTCCCAGTGCTCCCTGCCCCCCCCTCCACAGCACCAGAGGCTACTCACTTCCATAAAGTTCTCTGATCTGCCCAGTGCTAAAAGGGGGACACCCAGGGCCCAGTCCACACTTCTGCTGCATGGGCAGCACCAAACCCACCCAGCCTTGGGCAGCAGAGGCTCCCATCCCCCACCACAGGGCCCCAGGAAAGGGTGGCCTGGCTCACCCTAACCCCTACACTGAGGGCCTACAGTGAGGCCAGGAGACCAGGGCCACTGCCGTCCCTCCAGGCAGACAATGATATGGGAACAGCCTACACCTCCTGCAGGGGATAGTAAGAGTACAGCAGCTGGTACCATCTCCACCTATTGGACATGGCATACCCAGAGTCTTAGCTGTGAAGGTCCATCCAGGGGCACAGCCTGAAGAGCACAAAATGAGTTCAGACTGACCCAAACAGCTGTACAAGCTCTGTCCAGCTGGTGCTGGGAGGTGGGGAGGAAGAAGGGTGGCCTGGGGCCCCATCATGCCTTCCCAAGGTCCTGCAACAGGGCAGAGAGCTGCCCAGCCACACACACCCTGGTCACATGACCTAGTCCCAAACAGAAAGGGAAACAGCTACCACCCACCCAGCAGTTTCCATATGACACTAGATGAGAGAGAGGGCTGGAAACGTCCTGGGACCCAGGAAGATACTGTAGCCAAGTCCATCACTGGCCAGCCACTACTGACTCCGGCGCAGAGCTGTGCCCAGAGGAACTGATGAGGATGGCGGTGCTGATGCTCCCACTGGCCCTGCCACCTCAGCCACCACTACTTGGGGTCACCCTCAGGGGTAGCTGTGGCATCCACTCGGGCATCCCTAGAGGTCCCGGCCTTTCTGGGCTTCTGCTTGGCTTTCCGCAACATGTGGACCTGTCCCAAGGCAGGAGTCAGGAGCCAGGCTAATGTAGCAGGTCACACCCAGGTGTACTGCCAGGCCCCCAACCCTGGGATCCAGGCTCTGAATAGGAAGGACCAGGCAAAGCTGCCCTGACTGGTACCCCAGCATTGGGCATCCTCTACCATGCCCTCTTCCCCCCATGAGGCTGACAGGGTTTTGTTCCCACTGAGTGGCAGCTGCCTCACTGGCCTCTTGGCTTCCTGGGCTCAGGGAAGACCCAGGCCCCACCCAAGGAAACCACTGCCCATCCCCATCCCCACCTGCTGTACCTTTGGGCCAGCAGCCGAGATAATCATGTTCCCAGGGGCCTGAACCCAGGGCTCCCCATCCACCTGCACAGGGATGGCCTTGAGAAGTGTGACCCGAAAGTAGGAGCCCTGGGCGATGCGGATTCCAGAGCGCAGCCCACCCTGGACCTGGCCCTGCCATAGGAGAGGTGAGGTGCTCAGCAGAGCCATGAGCACTACTACCTGGGCCACCCCACCCCCATGCCTGGCTGGCCAGCTCACCATGTGGACAACACCTGTGACGCCCACCACCTCCAGCAGCCCGTCGTCCATGCGCGGCTTCTCGAACCTCGTGTCACTATCCGAACCCCACAGGTCGGCTCCTGAGCCCCAGCTGCCATGGTAGGGGGAGCACAGAGGTGAGGCACGGGCTGCCAGGGGCCACAGGCCATAGCACAGCCCCAGGAACCCCAGGAGTTGCTGCCCATACCTGGGAATGTTGATAAAGATGAGGCCCTCAATGCTGGGCAGAGGCACTTCCTGCTGCCCCACCTGCAGCCGGATCTCCCTGTGCAGGCCGCGTGCCTGGCTGATCTTCTGCAGCCCAACGCGCACATACACGCCCTTGTTATGGAACCTGCAGAGAGGAGGGCCCACTCCACCATCACCTGCATGAGGCAGTCCCCGGCTCTGGCCCCTCCCAGCCTGTCCCTGCTGGCAAATCCCCAGGAAGTATGTGATCACCATGTGGTAGGCCCACATTGCCCAGGCGGCTGTTCCTGGCACTTGGGTACCTGCTGGTGAACTTGCCAGGCTCCTCATTCCGGGCCTGGTGGAAGTCCAGGCTCAGCTCTGCATCAATGCCAATGCCACAGTAGTTGCTCATCTGTACAATCTGGGGACAGGCGTTATCTCCCAGGATCTGCAGCCCACCAGGCACTCCTGAGCTCCCCCAAGGTGGATCCAGCCTCCTCACCCCATACCGAACTCTTACATGGGCCCAAGTAGCATGGGCCCAAGTTGCAGCTTCTGGGGCCAGCAGCCCTGGGCATGGCCTCCATAAGCTAGGCACTCCTAGCACAGTGCCCCGTCCCCCACCCTCCTGGACACACTCTGTACCTCAACAGCTGCATTTACAAAGAGGATGGGGCTGGCCCCTGCAGCACATGGCTAGGAGGAGGACAAGCACCTAGACATACAGCAGTCACACACAAGAGCCTAGCAGATGCCCAGCCCACACCACACCACCCTGATACCTTAGGGGGCTCTGCGTCTATTACACCATTCTCTGCACTGCCATCCTGGTGAGCGTCCAGCAAGATGGTCCAGCGGTCCATGAGCACAGCGTCAGCCTCATCCACGGACACCAGCACTGAGAAGGGGTCCTCCCCACTGTAGCCAGCCCCCCAGCGGAGGACTCGGCCTAGGTCGTTTCCTGGAATGCAAGCAAGACAGTACATCTCCACATCTAGCCCCACCTATAGGGCAGAGACACCACCCCAGGTCTCAGGTGGGACTTGGTGCAGGAAAGAAAAAACCCTAGGGCCCAACCCTCAGCTCAGTGGCTCAGCACACCTGTGCCCAGTGGCAAGATGGCCACAGAAGGTTCCGGGCAGGCCAGATGGTGCCGTGTTTCCTCCAGGGCAGCCAGCACCCAGCCCACAGTGCCGTCCCCACCACATACCAGCACTCGGAAGCAGGGCACCTGGGAGAACAGGTGGAACCTGGCAGGAGGGAGACAGGGAGTATCCCTCACCAGCCACCTCATGCCCATCACTCCTGGCTACTTCCTTTTCAAATGCATGGCTCCAGCTTGTGGAGGACTCCAGCAGAATCTCACAGAAGTTTCGGGACCAAGGAAGGACCAAGGGAGGTGCAGCAGCTCCCACACCCGGTCCACCCCAGCCACTCAGTGCAGAACCACAGTGGGCACTGCCTTGGATACAAAACTCACCCAGGAAGAGGACCCACACTGGTCAGCTCAAAAACCTGGTGAGGGTTCAGCAGCTTCCGGAAGCTACAGAGCAGGTCCCGGCCCTTGAGGCCTCCACTCTTGGGATTCACGAACACAAGGAGAGGACAGCTGTCTGGGGGCAGCTCTGAGTGCTGACAGACAAAGGTTGGGTGAGAACAGGGACCCACAATCAGGCATCCCCCTGGTTTCCCCCCAGGTTTCCAGCCTGGGCCCAGCCCCTCCTAGGGAAGGCATGGCTGCACCTCACACCCGAGGCCTCACTGGAAGCTGGTAGGGCGGCACTGAGACCAGCTGGGGCATTCCAAGCAAAAAGGCCTGGCCCTTCCTGCTGTGCCACACGGGAACAGACCACATCCCCCACCTGGCCCTCACAGCATAGCCCAGGCTGGAAACCCACGTAGGGCCCTGCCCACCAAGCAGCCAGACCAAGGCCTGTCCCTCAAGGGGTCCCCGGTGTGCCCCTTTAGAGAACAGCAGCTCCTAGGCTCCCACCCATCTACATAGCAGCCAGAAAAAGCTGCTCAGTCCATGGGTGGCCAAATGTCTCCCCAAAGCCAAAAGATAGAGCCCAACTTCCTACACACTACTACAAGAAACAGCACCCAGGGGTCTAAACACAGTGGGCCTAGGGCTGGGCTGGGTGATGGACAGATAGGCTGGTGCGGACAAAGGGTGGGTGTGGCACACGGCTGGGCCATGGCTTGGGGCAAGGACACACTCAGGCCATGTGACCCACTGGACAGGCAGAGCCCCCTGTGGTCACCACTTACCCACTCACCCCAGGGCAGGCAGCTGACAGGAGAGAGAAAGTGTATGTTGGCCCCACACCCAGCTCTGCCCATGGAGTATACAAGGCTGGGGCCGGGGCTGATGGCCAACCTGTCCTGACCTGGGCGGGCAGGTGTGAAGGGCCAGATACAAAGAGCTAGAAGGCTTCACCTACCATAGTTATAGACTACCACACTCATTCTGCACTTTCTGCTTAAATTGGACTGGGGTCAGGGCCCAGGGATCAAAGGTCAGGATTGAGTAGAGCAAAGCAGTTGCAGACCCCTGGTGGAACCAGGTAGGGGTGGGGACTTAGGACCACAGAGGCTCCTCTGGGAATACCAGGTACAGGGATTCCAGGCTCCAGTCCCAACTGCTCTAAACCACATTTTGCCCACAGGTGGTACCCTCTACCCCGAGGCTGCTGCACACCCCTCCCAGGTACTACCAGGCCTTAAAGGCAGTGTCCTGTCAGGGCGCTCTACCTACTGCCAGGATTATAGTGGGGGGCTCTAGGCAAGGGGCAGGGGCCACAAGTCCTCCCAGGGGCAATGCTATGCCTGAGAGGAGGGGGCTAGTGAGATGATTACACATGGTCCTTAGGCAGCCCCAATGGGCCCAGTATATTCTGTGGGGCTGATAGCTGTGTCCTGTAGTTGTCCCAACTAGGTAGAGGCCTCAGAGTTCAAGGGACAGCTGGCCCCACAATGCTCTGAGATGCAGACTTTACCTACTGGGTGCCAAGACAAGTGCTAACTCTCTGGCCTTGGGCCCCATGAAATACAATGGGCAGCAGTGTCCTTCCTGGGCTGTCCTGAGGTATGAACACGGCAGCACTGACTGGCCCAAGGAGCCCGAGGGAACAATGCCAGGCCACAGTGTACATCTGGCCATGGGAACTGCGCATCTGAAGACCTGGGCTTTTCTCCGACAGCCCCCTGGTGTGTTTGAAAAGCCAGCCCAGGAACCGCTCACTCACCAGCACATCTGGGAGCACCAGTGCGGTCAATGCCCGGCCCTGCACAGCCGTGTCCCTGACCAGCATGTACAGCCGCTCAGCCTCTGCGAAGCAGGCAACATCCAGCACTACTGCACCTGTGGCAAGGCCCAAGTCTCAGATGAGGCCTGCCCTGTGCACGGCTGAGACACCTCCCCAGCACACAGCTCCCTGAGGCAAAGGTTAGGTGCTCAAGAGGGCAGGGCTTTTCCACCTAACTGCAGGAATGACCTTTGGTCACACGTGACCACAACACTCACCTTGGGAGGAGTAGACGTGACTCACGGACACCACGGTGGCTGCAAAGGCAGGATGCAGTCAGGGTGGCATGTGGTGAAGGGCACACAGTGCTGAGGCCTGGAGGCAAGGCCTCCTCCCTCTGGGGTCTGACCTCCCCCCATATTGTGCGCCAGCCCTTCTGACCACCTGGTTCTAGGGTGACTTCACATACCCAGCTACAGGATTCCCTACCCCCGGAAGTCACAGGGCCCACCCAGGGAGAGAGACAGAAGCCAGGTCTATAGGAAAAGGCCAAAAAGGGTGTGAGACGCAGCAGCCCCTCAGAGGAGGACATGCAGGATAGGCCTGGAGGTAAGGACAGCACCCAGATGGTGTGTGGCAAGCCAGGAGCCTCAGCACTGTGGTCCCCACTGCTTGCCGTCAGCCCCCTGTCCCCTACCAGCTAGCCCCTGGCCAACCGCAGCAGTCACACCTTTGGTGGCCACAGCTTCATGCAGCAGGTCACTGTACTCCTGGGAAGACAAGCCAGGAGGCAGACCACCAACAAACAGGGTGATTCGAGGAACCGGAGTTCTGTTCTCTGCCACGTAGAACCGTGTCTGGCTCACCTGCCGCAAGGAGGTCTGGGGGGGAGGCAGGTGCTAAGTGGGTAGGGACAGCTCCCCCAGCACCAGGCTCTCTGCCACCTCACCCACAAAAGGAGTCACTGAGAAGATTCCCCAGAGCTGAGCCAAGATGAAAAGAGGAAAGGAGGCCAGGAGGCTTCCTTCTTGTGGATAAGCCCATCTATTCCCCATAGGAAACTCAGAAGGGTCTGTGGTTCAACAGCCCACCCTGCTGGAACAGGTTACTTGTTGGCCGGGAGAGTCAGCTAGCCAGGGCTGAGTCTATCCCTGGGGGAGATACTGCTCTTGGTGGGTAGAGGTCATGGCTATGGGCCAATAGGTGCTTGGGGCTGTATCCATACCCACTGACCTGCCGGATGTCCCAAAGCCGGTTGAGCAGGAGCTCTTCATCTGCCAGCACTGTCCGCTGGACTGCAGGGGCCAGGGCATAGCCCATCAGCACTGGGCTCCTGGCCCAGCTCTGCAGATGGCTGCCCCACCCCCATCCCTGTGTCCCCAGAACACGTATAGACACAGGGTAGAATTGTCAGGACAGGGTCTGCCTTCGACGTCTTAGGAGCCACCCTGAAGGAGCCCCTGAGGCAGCAGGTCCAGGATGCCCACTCACCCTGCCGGCTGCCCATGAGCACCTCCACCAGATGGAAGCTCTGAGGACCCTCAGCCTGTGGGCACAGAAGGCAGGCCATTAGGCCTGGGTAAGTGACGGGTTGCCACACTAGGCCTACTGGGCAGTGGCCCTGTCTGCCCAGCACGGGCGGACCCAGGATACACACCTGGCGACCAAGCAGCGGCAGGGCCTCCAGTACCACCTTCCTGGCTGTGCTCTGCGGTGTCACACACAGGGACACGTAGGCCATACCCATCCTGTGGGTGCCAGGAGTCAGGCACCAGACTCCCCCACACTCCCACCCACCTGGCAGACCCAGGCCCAGCCAGTCTCACTTGAACCAGCCAGGGTAGATCTTCAGGACTTCCTGGGCTTGGGGCAGAGCACGGATGACCCAGGCCTCTGGCACAGTCTCACAAGACCCTGGGCCTTTCACGCCCTCCTCCTCTTCCAAGATCCCAGCCTTGGCCCAAGCCAGGGCATTACCAGCCTGAGAGGGCAGCGGGTGTAGCTCCAGGCTGTCAGGGTCTTCAAGGATGTAGTAGGCCCGCAGCGCAGCCTCCTGCAGAGGGTGGCCAGTATGGAGGCTGCAGTGGTACCCTAGCTCCTGCCCTAGCCCAGGACCTCCCTTACCAGCACCTCCTCCCTGGGGGCCAGGCGGGAGATGGTGATGACTCGGAACTGGTTTCTCCTCACTGCATCATCACCATCAAAGATCTTCAATGTCTGCTTGCCTGGGTGGGGAAACGTGTGTGAAACCCAGGGTTGGGGGATGGGGCTAGGGTGGGTGGGGGACAGGGCAGGGATGGATGGGGGACGGGGCAGAGGTGGGTGGGGGACGGGGCAAGGGTAGGTGCGGGACAGGGCAGGGGCCACTTACTGGACTCTGGAGGTGCCAGCGTCTCTCTGCCTGGGCCTGCAGCAGCACCTCCATCTGCACTACTATCCCCGTTGCCTACAGATGGGCACATGCACTCCTCACTCCTCACACAGTGCCCGCTGCCCACAGCACATGGCTTGCCCAAGGTCCCCATGCCTCACCGAGCTCTGGGGCCATCATCTCAGTGATGTGGAAGCACTGCATCTTGCTGAAGTTGCGGGACAACAGGCGCACACATGCTGGGGGCAGGACCAGGGAGCGCAGGCGCCCAAAGGTGCACTCAGGAGCAAGCACCGAGGAACAGACCGAGTGGGCCTAGGGGTATAGGCTTGAGCCCAGGTGGAGCACCCACGCAGAGACAGGGCTAATGGCTCTGCACCCCACTTTGATAGTACATTGGGGCTATGTCCCATGCCAGAGTGGGACAGAGACCCTTCTCCCTGGTCCCCTCCCCCAGGGACTAGGTAACCTCTCCTGCCTCGGCACCTGCACTCCTCACCACTCCTGTCCCCTCCCACCATCCCACTCTCCACCAGGAGCCCACCTGGACCCCACACCACTCGCAGCGCAGGCCAGCCAGCACCTCCGAGGAGCTGCATGTCTTCCTGCAGACCTCACAGCGTGCTCCGGAAGACAAGTTCCCCTCCCGCCAGTGGTGGTGATGATGCACGTCCTGGAAAGAGGAGACAGTCAGCAGTTGGGCTGGTGGCTGCACCCCCAGGCTGGCACTTAGCGCCCTGACACCCACACACTCACATGATCCTGGTGTCCATCCTGGTGACACTGGCGGCAGTCACTGCAGGCGAAGGGCACACAGTCGGGGTGAAGGTACAGCTCACACACTGGGGGGCAGGCAGGGTTAGTGGCCTCTTGCCCACTATGGCCCCCTATACCCTTTGGCCTCTTTGCTCCACTGGTCCTTGCCCCTAGCTCCCAGCATGTGGCCACAGCCCCTAGGCCAGCCCTAACCCTAATAAGGTGTGAGTTGGAAAAGGGTATGGGTTGCCTGGGGCAGCAGAGACCAGGACCCTGTGTCAGGTGGGAGAGGCAGGTAGGCTCCAGAGGATACCTTCACAGCGGAATGCAGGTGCCTCCAGGCCCTTGCGACAGACAGCACAGAACTTGCGCTTGTAGATGCCCCGGGGGCCAAAGCAGTGAGCCACAGGGACCTGGCAGGAGCAAAGGGCAGCTTTACCTCACTGGCCCACATATCCACCTAACCAGGCATCCTCAAACTATGGCCCAGGGGCCAGATGTAGCCTGCCTAGAACATTTATCTGGCCCGCTGGGTGTTTTTGCCATCACTGCCTGTCCTGCTTAGCAGCTGACTCATCCCAGGGCCCACAGTCTGGCCCTCTAATGGTCTGAGGGACAGTGAACTGGCCCCCTGTTTAAAAAATTTGAGGACCCCTGACCTAAACACTCCATGACTGCCCATGCCAACACCCCTTCCCTCCGCACCTGGGTCATCCTGCCACTCAAGCCTCTGCTGGAGACTCCTCATGACTGGTCTAGGAGGCCCCAGCAGCAGTCACAGCCACAGCCACAGCCTTGGGGCTGCCAGACAGGACAATTAAAAACTGAGGAGAAGGCTCTGTGATGTCTATCTAGTCCTGTTTTTTTGGCAGGGAGGGCACCTGTCATCTCCACTGCATGTGTCTCCTCAGGTTCAAAGGCTCTCAATGCACCACCAGGACCCCCCAGGCTATAATGTGTGTGTTGGGGGGGGTTCTGCCTATCCATGAGAAGAGACAGCAAAAGGGCTCAAGTCTTCTTCATTCCTGACTCTTGTCTTTACCCCCCAAATCCCAAAATATGTACAACAGAAAAATATCAGAATGATAACTGGGGACTTGCCAGAATGGTGGGTGATGGTTATTTTGTTAAGTAACTATATTTCTAAATTTTCCATCATGCATATATTTGAGAGACATATTCCTATTTTTTAATTTAGTAAAATATACAAAATAAATCATTAAAATCAACTTTAGATCGTGAGGGACCACTCACGGTGGTCCCAAGGATGCAGCACCCAAGGATGCTGGCTACCACCAGGAGCTAGCGTCCTCAGGCTTTTCTGCACTCAGCCTGGTAATCAAGTTGCTCCCAAACCTGGGATCAAACAACAGTGGGAAAAGCCACAGGCAGAGCACCTGTGCAGCAGTAGGTGCACCTGTGGGTCTTGCCCTCACTGCCTACTCACAGCCAGCACCAACCACTGCACCCTGGGCACAGTACATCAAGGAATCTGCAGAGGGCAAGGCTCAGGGATGAGGAATTACCACGGCCCACACAACAGGACCCACACCGCAAGCCCTTCCCTACATGCCACTGCCTTCACCAACCTCACAGGGAAGGGAAGTGCCCTGTGCCCTGCAGGGACCCAGGCCAGTCATCCCCTTGCCCAGCCCAGAGCCCTGAAGGACGTTGATGGCCAAGACTCCAAAGTTTACTGTTACTGTCTGTTCTAACTTGCTCTCTGGAGATCCATGTAAACTCACTGCATCTGTGAGAAATGATGGAGCTCTTTCACATCCTTGGCTCAGTTCCCCCCAGTGGTGGCATCGTGCAAAAGTAGCATCACAGCCACAGTGCTGACAGGCAGTGAAGACACAGAAACCTCCATCCTTCTCTCCACTGCTCTTTCATAGCCACAGCCACTTCCTTATCTAGTTATATTTCCAGAACATTTTATATCATGCAGATCCCCTTTGGGATCGGCTTTTCTCAGCACAGCCCCCTAGAGGCCCATCCATGGCTCTAGGTATGTGAACAGCTGATTCCTTTTAATACTGAGCAGTTTTCCAACCCTTCCGTTTTAACCACAAGTATAATGAAAGTCTGACAGCAGGAAGACAGCCTGGGTTTCAGTGCCTCTGCTCCTCGAGGGCCAACAGCCCCCACCCTCCCGGCAGATGTAGCACCCCCACTCCACACTCACCCGGACCAGGCTGGGTGCGACGCTGGTGCATGGGGTCTTCACATGCTTCAGACACTTCTCATGGGACATGAAGTTGCAGACTATGGGAACAGGAGTCTGTAAGTGGGTCCCATCCCACCCAAGAAGGCCAGCAGGACCACTCAGCCAATTCTCACCAACCCATTAGGCAGTCCCAGGCACTGTGCTCCTCCAAGTTCCCCTCCCTCATCTGAGAAACTGTGGCCTGGGTGGCTCTAACTGTCCTGACTGCAGCCCCACCCCTCTTACACAGGCTAAGCTGTCCTTCTTCCTCTGCAGTCTTGGAGCTCACAAGATGGGCAGGGGGCCTTGCAAGCTCCTGCATCTCTGTAGGAGACTGGCTCCCCCAGGGACACTCTTCCCTCACTCCACCCAAACTGTGCTATACGCTGCACCTGAGATCCAACGCCACCAGAGGCAGGCAGGCGAGCCAGCCAAGTGAGGGCTCAAGATAGCAGGAGGTGGACAGCCTAGGGGCCCCCCCCATGGCAGGGAACATTGTGCATTTGCTGTGTGCAAGGGGCCCAGGGCAGCACTCAGGAGGGCCAAGAAGGCAGCAAACTGCACACCCAACTCCAGCTTCCCATAGGCACTCAGCTAGGAGACACAGAGTTAGGGAGGGGTCTGGACCCCATAAGGTAGGGATAACAGGAAGGCTGAGGCTGCAGTGGCTAGGAGTGGGCAGGACACATCTATCAAGACAGCCATCGGTGAAGACTGACCACGGAGCCTTGAGGCAGCCTGGTCTGGGGACAGGCAGCTCTTCCAAAAGGCCCTCAGTTGCAGTGCACCCCCCTCCCTGCCGTGGCCCCAAACACCCCAGTCCCTAGAAGAGGCTGCACAAAAGTTCTTCATGGGCTGTTCTAGAGAAAAACTTCCGGAATGCTGGTTCAAGGAGAGAAATAGGGAGAAAGGACAATAGCTGCAGGGACAGCAACCGCAGCAAACACTGACCAGCCTCCCCCTCAGCCCATAGCCCTGCCAGGACCTTCCCAGGCATCCTGCCAGCCTCATTCAGTGAGCTGCTTTGTCCCAGGAGGATGCTCAGGGCTACAGAGCCCCACCTGCAAAGGGTCACACCCATGAAAGGGACCGGGAGTCTACTCTCAGACTATTTTCTATACCTTTTACCCTGTGTGTCAAATCCAATCATTTATCCCAGTGATTTTCAACTGGTGTGCACAAAAATTTTTAAAGATCATTAATTGTTTTGAAAGAAGTTCAAAGGATAGTATTTTTTTAAACTCCCTTATTGATCAACATAATTTAAGTATGCCATGGAAGTTTAATTATAAATTTAACTGTACTGTGAGATTAAAAAAAAAAGGTTGATAAGTAATGGTCTAGCCTCAGAGCTGGAGCTGATTCAGGCTTCACCTGCACATCTGCCTCAGGGGACTCCCTGGCACTCCTGGGTGGCAGGGCAATGCAAGGTCTATGATCCCACAAAAAACTAGATCACACATGGGCGTCACCTGTAGCTCAGTGAGTAGGGCGCCGGCCCCATATACCGAGGGAGGCAGGTTCAAACCTGGCTGGGCCGAACTGCAACCAAAAAATAGCCAGCAACCAAAAAATAGCCGGCGTTGTGGCAGGCGCCTGTAGTCTCAGCTACTCGGGAGAATGAAGCAAGAGAATCGCTTAAGCCTGGAAGTTGGAGGTTGCTGTGAGCTGTGACGCCTCAGCACTCTACTAAGGGCAATAAAGTGAGACTCTGTCTCTACAAAAAAAAAAAGAAACCCGATCACATCATGCCAGTGGTGTAGGCCACCTCGTGCAGCCCAGGGTGTCAGAGGGACTGTGTCATGTCCACCGCAAAAACATTCCTTTTGTGTGAGAGGCCCAGCCTCCTCTACAGGCTCTGGCTGTCCCCAAAGGCCTGCCTCCTTAGCACCCCCCTATTTCTCACCACAGGCCAGGACAGTTGGTGTCCAGCATCCTTAGGATCCACACAAACACCTGACCCTGTCCCAGCCTCCTTCCACAGAAGCTATTCTATGGTCTCCAGGGCCCACCTGCTTATAGGATAGAGGACCAGAAAAGAGCCAGCTTCAGGGGGTGCCCATAGCTCAGTGGTTAGGGCACTGGCCACAGGCGCCAGGGCTGGTGGGTTTGAACCTGGCCCATGCCTGCTAAACAAACAAAAACAAACAAACAAACAAACAAATCATAGTGGCAGGTGCCTGTAGTTCCAGCTACTAGGGAGGCTGAGGCAAGACAACTGATTGAGCCCAAGAGTTTGAGGTTGCTGTTGAGCTATGACGCAACAGCACTCGACCAAGAGTGACAAAGTGAGACTCCGTCAAAAAAAAAAAAAAAAAAAAAGCGCCAACCCTGGAAGCACCAGGGAGCCTAGAGGGGAGGGTCACCCTCACCCCAGCCCTGTCTCCTAAGCAGCTGAGGTGCCGCACCTGGGAAACCAGGCCAGTCCTGCGTGGCCACAACTGCTACCCTAGGCGCCAGGAGAGGTCAGCTGGCTTCAGCCACCGCAACTGTCCCCAGCACACCCTGCCACATACAGCCCCCGAATTCCAATCGCAACCCTGAATGGGGCACAAGCTCCCACCTCTGAAAGAGCTGCACCCTCTCAGGGCCAGCAGGAGGTGAGGCCTGTCCTGGAAAGGCCGTCGCCGGCAGAGCGGAGCTCAGGGTGAGGGGCGCGCTCCGAGGTGGGAGAACCCGGATCATGGGTTAGGGTCGGAGTCAGGGAACCGGACCCCGGCGTGCGCGGTTGCGCGCGTCCTGGGCTAAGCCCGCCCCGCCTCGGAAGGACTCCGGCCGGGAGCTCACCGTCGCACAGGAAGCCGGCCAGCCCCCAGATGAAGTCCGAGCAGAGGTGGCAGAAGGTGGGCTTGGTGAGCGTTACCTTCCGGAAGCTGTGCCCCTGCCAAGCCGCGGGACCCGGGGGTCTGACGCCCGCACGCTCCGGCCCCGACCCCAACCCTAGGCGCGTGCGGCCTCCGCCGCCCAGTACTGGGCTACAGACCGGGCTTCTGGGCCTCTGGGCGCCGTCGCCCAGCCAGGGGCGGGCCCCGGACTCAGCCGCCGCCGCCATCCCAGCTGGAGCCGCCCGAGCCCGAGCGAGCGCGCTGGAGGCAACAGACGCCGCAACTGCTCTGCCTGGAC